TTAATATGGAGCCAAGCTTCTTCCCACTCTGGGCATCTCAGTTCACAAGGTGCTTGGGCCCCCTCTCCTTCAGGATGCTTCTGAAAAGGGGTTGCCAGTCAGTCTGCTCTTGGTATTTGTTCTTTACTGGGAAATACTGAAGGGGAGAGGAGAGACTAGATGTCACCGTTTCTCCAGCAATAAATGCTGTGCAGATTTTTCGTGTTAATTCGCATAGTGCTAAGTCAGTAATAGTAAGGAGAGTGATGGATTGAGCTTGCTCTCAGGCTTGCTCCTGTGCCCTTTGTTCAAAGCCTGAGACCCTTGATCCCTTACTCAGGCCATAGGAGAAACGGGCACGTGCCTCCTTACTGCTCAGGCCGGTTTATCGCTTATAAAACAAGGGGTGCAAGAGTCTCCCTTCTCTGTGTTAGACAAAGTCTAGCCAGATGGGCAGCGAGAGAAAGAAGCTAATATAGCTGTTTCTGCAGCCCAGGTCTGTGTCACAGGGGTTATTAATGTCATCATTGCCAATTTAAGATCTACAGATGAGGATTTGTTTGTGCTGGGGGGGCACTGAGATCCCAGGGTGATCATATGGGTGTTTGGGGGGCAGGGGGGAGCTTGCCCTCAGATTGTGTCTCCTCAGGAGCTTAGGGTTGGACTCGTCTCAATGAACTTGTATCTGTCTAAAATTAAGGTGTCTGGTTTAATATAGTCATTGAGATGCTGTCTGGGGAAAATGAATGATTGATACCAATCTAAGATAAGAGTTTGAGTAGGATAAGCATTTCCAGGGAGAGATTGTTATCTCTCTTTTGAATTTGAAGTGAGCCAAGACAATGAAGTTAGCCTTGACATGTAATTTTTAGGTAAAAAAACCCTTGGCTTTGATAATCCAAGACCTCTCAGCAGCACTTTCTTCTCATACTTTGAGAAACACAAAATCAATAGTTGAGATATCCTAAGCACTTGCTTACAGTTTTATTCTGGTCAAGTGACTGTCAACAAAGGAATCCCTGCTCTGTAGCAGCGACACCTCTTAAGTTTCAGTGTCCGTAATATGATTAAAGAATTCAATTATTTCTTACATCGTAGTCTAAAAAAGTGCATCCAGTTAAGTTGGCTGTGCCTCCCTCTTCAACCTCTCGGCTCCTCAGTCTGCAGTCGGAGGCCCTGCTCATAATTCATGGAGGTAGGGGGTTTATTTTTTTCAAAGCAGTATGCAGGGAATTTCCAGTGCTACTCCCACACACCGCTTTGAAAAATTACCCTTCTGCACTCTAGCCCTTCATATCCTGTGCACAAACACAGAGGCACATTGGGTCCTGCGCAGGGTCCCTGGGGAAGGAGCAGGCTGGATACATCCCCAGAGGAGGTAAATGGTAGATGTTTTGTTTCATTTTACACTGGGGCCTGTAGGAGGGCTGTAAGCAGCAGAACAGACCTCGTCAGCTGTGGTTAGCCAGGAAGGGATCTGTTTAGAAATGTTTTCAGCCAGGGGCAGGGGGTTGGGGTGGAATTTTTAGAGAGCAGAGGTCTTTGAAACATTGCACTGATGGGGGCTCCTTTGAAACATTTCCATGCCCACAGAAAGGGGATCCCCCTTTGAAACATTTACAGGCATTGGGGAGTCCACCTGGGACTATATCAAAAACTTTCAGTAGTTCTTGCTGCCTCTGTACTTGCTTACCTACTGTTGCGCTGACCTGGCAATGTTTAAAGCTTCTCCTCCTTATCTCCCCCCCTACCACTGCCTCTGATGTGCAGTCTCTATTAGATGCAGGGGAAGATGGGTGTACGCAGCCGTGGGCTCTGCGGGGGGCACTGAGCAGCCATGGCAGCAGCCAGAAGCATGGAACTCTGTCAGTGCAGCTTCTGCCCAGTGGCTGGGGGGGGCGGGGGACACCGCCGAGTCCCCACGGCACGCGAGCAGTGGCTGCCCTGGGGAACAGGCCCCGGCACTCCCTTGCCCTGCACTGCCAAGGGAGCCCCTGCTTGGAGCCTTGCGCAGGGAACATCAGGATTTGGCTCGGGGTTTTCCTATTGGGTTTTTACAACTGTGCTGTTGCCACAGCCAGGCTGGGTGCCCTAATTAATATTTTTCAGGGAGCAGAAAATTCTACAGACTTGTTGTTCTCCAAGCAGGTCAGGTTGCCCAGGATCAAGGGAAGGTGCATTCGGATCCGTGCTGGGGCTCTCAGCTGCTAGGGTAAGAGAAGTGGACATAGCAGTACTTCTCTCTGTCTCGGTTAGATGGGGGATGTTTTCTGTTTAATGTTCAAAAAAGATGAACAACTGTCCCCACCCTTCTTTCTCCCTTTCTCTAAGAAAGTCTCCTGGCAAACGTGCACGGGAAACCCATCTGGGGCGCAGTTAGTGCTGGAACAGGGAAAATAATGATTCCTGGTCGTGCTCTAACACTGGGATTGCTGCAGGACCTTCCTGCCTCCGGCTCCAGAGGAGTGTAAGTGTTTGTGGGCTAGCGGGAGGCTGTCCGACTCCTCGGAGCTCAGCAGAGCCCTTCCCCGGTGATGCTCCTGTCCTTACACATGCAATTGCCAGCACTCCCAGTCAAAATTCACGTATGAATGCTGGTGAGCAGCAAGGGAGGGAGTGGGGCGCAGGCTGGACATGTTGCGGTATATGCTATGTGAAGCATGAGGCCCTGTTTGTGCTTTGAGAGCCACTGGGGACAAAAGGGAGTGCTGGAGGGAAAAATTCCAAAAGTCAAATTAAAATTGTTCAGTGGACAATTCTTGGACAGTTCTTGGACTCCTGTCTGGATAAACACCTCCCTGTTTGATGTGATGGGGACGACCAAGTTAAACACCATGTTTGGAGGAATGGGGAGAGTTTTCTGAGTACTGCCCTAAGCTGTGGCATATCATACGTTGTATGTAGTGTAGGACTTCAGTATCTGAATTACCTTTCCTGCCCTTGGGGATCATGTTTCAAGTTCTGGAAACACTCTGCCAGAATTAAACACAAAAAGGAGGGATAACATCCATCCACAGTTATGTTTCTTTCAGATGCATACAAGTATTCTAAACAAAAAATGACCAAATATAGGTTATTTTGTTAACATTTAAAAAAACACATAATATTTAAAAAAAACAAAATAAGTTTGTTGCTTGTAAGAAGTCAAACTGCAATAATAACTACAG